TGTTTTAAAATGATTGCACCTAAGAGTGCCCACCCCCAGGGAAAAAGCATGGCGTTTCCTTCATAACTGAATGGAGAGGGCATTGCTGACTGGTTTCTTTAAGGTCTAAACTGTGATTTTTTTTTTTTTTTTTTTTTTTAGGAAATAGCAACTCTAAAGTATCCTAGGCTTTTTCTTGCTCTTTCATGTTCAGAGGTTTCCTGTAGGGATATCTTAGTTGCTTTTGAAAGGCCTTTTTTAAAAAAAATATTGCTTTTATTTTAAAATATTGTGTATAGGGGTGTGTGCCCATGAATGTAGGTGCCTGGGGAGGTCAGAGACATTGGATCCCTGGTGCCAGAGGGTGCTGAGACTAAAGTCAGGTCCTCTGCAAGAGCTATATGTGCTCTTAACCACTGAGCCATCTCTCCAGTCCCAGGCCTATTTTTTTTTTAAATGGTTTCTGAGTTAATAAAAGGAGGGTTCAGTTTACATGTTCACAGTAAATACACCTGCAGAAGCAGGAAATGGTCTGGTGGAGGCCATACCTTCAGATGCAGATTGGAAGAAAGGAGAGCCTGCTCTAAGGCTGCTGGGATGAAGTAGTCCTTGCCTCTCCTGGTCACCTAGCCTTTTGCACCACAGGGGTGGCTTCTCTCGCTTTCAAGTCAGAATCACAGAGAAAAACTAGACTCCACAGACTGCAATTGGAATTCATTTGGAAATCTAGATCCTTCCTCCAAGTAAAATTTGGGTTGAGCTTCTGAAATACAGGCTTTTAAATAATTATCTTTGAGTTCTTGACAGAAAAGAATCTCCTTTGTATGACTCTACCCTTAACTCTGGGTTGACCTTGGCATTGGATTAATCTCTGGTCCTGACTCCTAACCATGAACAGGGAGAAATTCAAGTTGACTTTGTTTTTTTGTTTGCTTGTTTTTTTCTTTGGTTTTTCAAGACAGGGTTTCTCTGTATTGCTTTGGAGGCTGTCCTGGAACTTGCTCTGTAGACCAGGCTGGCCTCAAACTCACAGAGATCCACCTAACTCTGCCTCTGGAGTGCTGGGATTAAAGGCATGCGCCACCAACGCCCGGCTTCAAGTTGACTTTCTTTGAGGTCAGGTTCTGGTAAATTTTGAAAATTAACGTGAGAAGGAATAAAGGGAAAAATGGATTATGAGTTTCAGGGAAAAATTGACTCCCTACCCTTCTCTATAGAAACCGATTGTTCAGGAAATCTCTCTGGTGTATCCTGTCAGGTGAGGCGGAGCAAGGGAAGACTTGGTTCACTTTTGAGTCAGACTTTTGTTCTGCAGTGGCTGTTAGTGGACCGCCATTGAAGCGAGATGGTTATACTAGTTAAGAATGTATATATGAATCCTGGCTCCTGGGAACTCGTCTAAACCGAGAGTGAGGCTGTCTGGAAAAAGACTTGACCCCTTGTTAGAGGGTTGGCCGCCTCGCCTCACTCTGGGTCAGTTCTTCATTTTCTTCACACTGCTCACACTGCCCTCCCTGGAAGAATGGGCCACCCAATGGGCCCTCTGCCGCCCTCTTTAGCCTACAATTAATTGCCAGCACATTCTTTCTTTTTTGGTATTTGACATGAGCTCAAATTGCTGAGAAAGGTGACAACTGTGAAATGAAGACAGGGCTTGGAGACACCTTAAAAAATACATGTAAAGGCCATTAAATGACAAGAGCAGACTGCTAGGCTCTTTCAAAACATTACCATGTCTGTTGACTTTCCATTCCTTGTTCACAGCACAAAATTGGAGGTCAAAGAATCATAGGAGTTAGAGATGGAAAAGACATTTGGGGTCAGCTAGTTCATTCCTCCGCCTTCTCCTACCCCTTACTTGAAATCATTCTGTACATTATATTTCCTCCCACAGCCCTTGTACAGTTTCCACGGTCTTCACTCAGCCCCAGCCATCACCTTCGGGGAGTCATGTGGGAGGTTCTGTTCAGCTTCTCCTTGGTGAAAAGAGACATCGCTTCTGCCCTCAGTTGACACTCGTGAACTTTGTTGGTGGTCTGGGCTGAAAGGCTGAAGGCTCACTGGATGGCTCTCTGTTGCTTGGTAATGGGGCTTCTCCTGATAGAGTCTGAAGAGCATCAGTGTGTGATGCCACCAGCAAAGAGGGGTCACTGCCGAATTAAGTCTGAGATTTTTGCTTTTTAAATCTCTTGACCTGAAGGGAATTAGATATATGGACTGGGGACAGATGGCCAATAATAATGGAAGTATATTAAATGGAGTTTGAAAAGAAATTCAACATAGAAATTGGTGGATTTGCCAGGCACTGTGTTTCATGCCTTTAATCCCAGCAGTTGGGAGACAGAGACAGGTGTATCTTGGTGAGTTTGAGGCCAACCTGGTTTACATAGTGAATTCCAGGACAGAGATCTTGTCTCAAAAAGCAAAAAAAACAAAAAAACAAAACAACAACAAAAAAAAACCTGGTGGGTTGGGGCCAGTGAGATGACTCTGTGGGTAAGGGAGCTTGCTGCCAAACCAGAGGACCTGAGTTTGCTTCTCTGGAACTCGCGTAGATGAAGGAGAGCCAACTCACTTACACGAGTTGTTTTCTGACCTTTACATGTATACCAGGACACATGTGCAGCCACACACCTTCTCTCTCCCCTCTCTTCCCCGTGCGCCCTCCCTCCCCCTACTAAATGCAATTACAATTTTTGGGGGAGGTTGAATGAACATAAAAGAGTACTGGACCTGCCAAGTAGTCAGTCACTGTTTGGGGACGTGCAGGCTAGGGAAGAAGGAACGTTGCCTTGCTGAAGCAAAGCTTCAGCGTTCAGCTAAATGGAGAGCAGATGAATTGAGGGTAGACATCTTGGGAAGGAAACCCTGTTGCCTTTGGTTCCTTTACTTGAACAGGTTTTAGCATTTACTTAGTTGTGTATGTGTGTGGGTGTGCATGCCATGGGCACGTGTGGAGTTCAGAAGACAACCTGTGGGAATTGGGTTTCTCCCTCTGCCTGGAGTGTTGAAGGATTGCACTAAGGTTGTCAGGTTTGGTGGCAAGCGCCCTTATTTGCTGAGCCACTTTGCCAGCCCTTCCCTTTGCTTTAAGGGATCAGAGAAAGAGAAGTCATATGCTCATTGGCTCCAGGGCTTGGGAAGGGAAGAGTCATTTTTAGAGGCGCGTTGGAGGGCTATCCCTAACTCCCCCTTCTTGTTCCAGCAGCTGTTGGGAGCAGTCCGAAGGGGGTATTATGTTTCTTCTGGTAACTCTGCCAAGAATGAGAGGAAATCCACAATCTGTGGGGTTTGGGGGGTGGGGTGGGGATAGGGTGGCAGGTGATGGGACAGGGAAATTAAATTGTTTTATAGTAAATATGTGGAGATACTTTTCCTGGAGAGCGTTTTACTGAAAGGAACAGTATATTTCCCCTGTTCACAAACTTAATGAGTTCCTTTCTTTAGAAAAAAGGAAATAGTTTTAGTACTTTTCTTTCTCATAGTTCTAGCTTTGACCTCCTTTTTCTGTGGATTTCCTTTAGAAAGTCCATACTGAAAAGATGCATCAAGATTCATACGTGAGTGATATGTGCTCAAGACGGGACACCCTGCCCAGGTTGCTGTAGGGAGAGCCTTTCGCCCGTGCTGTAGGGAGAGCCTTTCGCCCGTGCTGTAGAGAGAGCCTTTCACCCATCCCTGGTCTTGCCTGCAGTATGACTGTCGCCATAGCAGCCCAGAAACTGGAGATGTGAAGACTAGCTGTGGTGTGTGGTTCACACTCTCTCCATCCCTTTGTCCAGGCTAGTGCGACACTAGGGATTTTAAAGTCTGGGTACTTTGAATGATTAATATGGAACACAGTTTTAAGATTAAAAACAATAAAAAAGTAACCCTGGGAAGCAGAATGGTGTGATTATCCCTCACATTTCAGATGGGGAGTCCAGGGAAAAGAAGGCACGAGAACAAAGTATAACTCTACGTCAGCCTGTGCCTAATTCATGACTCAGAGGGGAGGTCTGTCCATTCACAATTGCACACAAATGGTGGTTTCTTTTTTTTACTGTTGTTTATTCTTAGAAAGTGCGAGATCAGCTTTTTTGAAAGTTGCATTGTAGGAGCCATGGAAAACTAATTCTGTGATCAAATGAGTGTGGGAAACGGTGTGCACCACGTTCCCTCTTGGGGATCACAATGCCCATTGGTAAATTAAAGGCACCGAGAACTCCTATAACAGAGGAACCTGTTTAATTTTGTTTTATCCTTCATTGCCCAAAATATTTGAACATAAAACCTTTTTCCTGCTTAATGTCAGTTCACATTTTGTTGAGCACACTCTGGACAGGTGCTTTGCAAGTTACAGAGCCTGGTGAGTGACAGGAGAGACAGCTAGGAGCATGGCTCCCATCCTAAGCTCACACAATGAAGGTCAGAGGTCAGACCCAGTGCTCCTGAAACTGTTGCTGATGGTCTTGACTTTAGCATAGAATTTGGATACTTACGTTGAATTTGTTTTTCTTTTTCTTTCTTTTTTTTTTTTTTTTTAGATAGGGTTTCTCTGTGGAGCCCTGGCTGCCCTAGAACTCACTCTGTAGACCATTTTGGCCTCAAACTCACAGAGATTGCCTGCCTCTAACTCCTGAGTTCTGGGATTAAAGGTGTGTGCCACCACTGCCAGGCCTTATATTGAATTCTTTTTCTTTTTTTTTTTTTTTGGTTTTTCAAGACAGGGTTTCTCTGTATTGTTTTGGAGGCTGTCCTGGAACTTACTCTGTAGACCAGGCTGGCCTCGAATACACAGAGACTGCCTGCCTCTGCCTCCCAAGTGCTGGGATTTAAGGCGTGCGCCACTGATGCCTGGCTATATTGACTTCTTAAAGATGTGGTATATTACATATGTATTGCTAGGAAGAGCTTTAAATTTTTTTAGATTTATTCTTTATGTCTAAGAATGTGCATGTATGCATGCCTGGTGCCTGCAGAGAGCAGAAGAGGGCGTCATATCCCCTGGAATTCGAGTTATGGACAGTTGTGAGTAACTATGTGGGTGTTGGGAACTGAACTTGTGTCCTCTGCAAGAACAAGTGCTCTTAATTGCTGCTGTCTTCTTAGTCCCAGGAAGAGCTTTTGGACTTACACATATTGTTGGAAGTGAGGCTAGCTTGGTCTACCTACCAGCCTGGTGCAGAAGGTAGTGGTGAATTTGACTAGTCTCTTGAAGAGAAGCAAGGACAGAGGTAGGCTAGTACTGCTGGTGCTGATGATATAGATAGGGTGGGGCTTCTTACGTTCTTTTCTACTCATGATCCCCTTTTGTCTGATAAAATATAACCCTGGGTATAAAATTATATCAAATAGGTATATAAATAAAAAGTTCACTGATGTTAAGTCATAGTGAAATGGACGCTAAACAATCTTTTGAAGATGAAATACATAATAATGAGTGAACTTTTGCAGAAGGAATCACGTGGTGGCTGACTATCTGATGCTACGGCATGTAGAGAACATCTTTAGTGTTTTCTGAGCTGAGTGTCATGCTGAGACCCTGCTTTGCATAAGTTTGTAATACAAAATGGAAAAGAATGTTCAGGACTATTTTAGGAATTGTTGGATAGTCTGCCATAATCCCAAGTTAAAATTCACTTAATGATTGTGTGTATGTATTTGTGTGGATGTATATACATGCATGTGTGAGGGCATTTTTGTGGATATGTGGATATGTATGTGAGTATGTGGGTAAACTCAGGTGTGCATATGGAGGCCAGAGGTTGACATTGGATACCTTCTGTTATTTCTCTTCACCTTGTTGTTGACAGAGGGTCTTTCACTGAACCTAGTGTTGGAGCTGAACTTAAGCCCCTGGAATCCACCTGTCTCTACATAACCAGTGCCAGGGTTTTATGTGGGTTCTAGGGAGCCTGAACATAGATTCCAGAGCTTGCACAGCAAGTAATTTATTTGCTGAGGCATCCCCCACTTTGTGCTGGCATTCTGGATATTTAATGCTATGCCTGGCTTTTACATAGGTCTGGAGATCTGAACTCAGGTCCTCATGCTTGTGTGTCAAGAATTTTGCCAACTAAGCCATCATCTCCCTAGCCCAATTAATGAAACCTGCCAGGCAGTTGTGGCACACGCCTTTAATCCCATCACTCAGGAGGTAGAAGCAGGTGGATCTCTGAGTTCAAGGCCAGTCTGGTCTGTATAATGAGTTTCAGGACAGCCAGGGCTACACAGAAACCTTGAAAAAAACTCAAGTTGGCAAATCAAACAGCAGATTTATTTTGAAGTCAAGCATTCTAACACAATGCAATCCAAAGATGTACTCACATACTTCAGGCAGCCATGTTGCTGTTGCTGTTGGGGCATGAAAGCATGCGCAGTACAGACAGCACATGTTGTGTTTCAGACCAGGCTGCAGGGAAGTCACACAATGCAACATGGACGAACTGTCAGAACTACTTCTGACTCATGATGCATTTGATTTTGGATTAATTTTTGTTTCGCATTTAGAAACCTTTTGCCATTATGAACTTTTCATGTATTTGCACACTGGGTTTCAGCACACAATTTAAGAAGCTGTGGTGCCAGGCGTGGGCACAGGGTTAAGTGTGGAAGGGCAGCTTGCTGTAGTGGCATAGTGTAGATCGTGGGTGTGAGATGGGTTAAGGGGGTTGATGTTAGGGGCCTCTGAGGAAGATATCGAGCATTCCTGTCATCCCCACTCTGTCCTGTGCGTGGTCTTGTCCTCATGGTGACATGTCTCCTGCCATTTACCTCACCCTAGATTTTGGGTGAAGTAAACATAATATGATTTAATGGTATTTCATTGAGCTTATTTCACAGAGCATACTTATAGCCATCTGGTCGGATGCAAGTACAGAGGAAGATTGCAAGTCTCACTGAGCTGCTTGCACTCTTAGAATGGGTTAGAACTAACTGGTGGGCACGGGCACTAGAGGGAAGACCTGCTTTCTGGAGAGGAAGAAAAGCAAAGAAAAGAAGAGGTGGTGCTAAGGTAAAACCCCAGCCCTAAACGTCATTGTCTGAGAGCCCACGGGTGGCCTTGTTCCAAAAGAGAAGTCTTGCCTGAAGATGGGATGGGGCCGGGCGTTGGTGGCGCACGCCTTTAATCCCAGCACTCTGGAGGCAGAGGCAGGCGGATCTCTGTGAGTTCGAGGCCAGCCTGGTCTACAGAGCGAGTTCCAGGATAGCCTCCATAACAATACAGAGAAACCCTGTCGAAAAAAAAAAAAAAAAAAGAAGATGGGATGGGGAGGAAAGATAGTGTGTTCTGGAAGTTTTCTGATCCTGGAGATTCTGTAGACTTACAGTCTTACACATACACACACATTCATGCACATGCACCCACACATCCCCCCCCACATAGGTACATACACACACAGGTACACACACACAGGTACACATACACATACATACTCACACACATCCCTCCCTCCAGGCATTATTCTTTTGACCAGGTTTTTGTATTTGCTTTTTGTTTTGGGGGTGTGAGATTGGAGACGGGAAATGAAAGGTCATTCCGGATAATGTCCTAGATCATTTCTGCTCCTCTGGACTCACTTGCTAAGACTTTAAGGGGCCAGGTAGCTACGGTGGGTGCTTATTGTATGCTTTTGTTTAGAATAGTTCGAGCACGGGGAGTGCAGTGAAACTCTAGTGGTGACTAAGTGCCTGAAAGCCTAGGTGGAAAAATGAGCCCGGGGCAAGAGGATGGCTGGGAAAATGGCAGTCCAGCCAGGCTGTGGGCCAACGTAGAGGTTTTTCCTTGCATTAACAGCCATGGGGAGAATTCTTTATAGTGCACTGATCATGTTGAGGGGAGCACCCTCACTTATATCAGTAACTGGTTAGCCAGTGGCCATTTCAAGGCTGAGGGTAAGGCCTTTATTGATTTCCAAGGCCCATCAGCCTCTATCCTCCCAGGCTCTTTTCTTCTGCCTGGTTCTACCCTTTTCCATTGAGTGGATGGAGACTCAGGGGAAGTAGATTTTTTTGGGGGGGGAGGGCGGGGACTGATTTTTCAGGTAGAGGCTCATAAAACTTAGATACAGTTTGGCTACCAGCTAGGGAACTCTCAGAGGATTGATGAAGGTGATGAAAAAGCCATTAAGTTGTTTTTAACAAAGTTGAGCCACATGGGATGCTCTAAAAAGCTGAAGTTGATTTGAGGGACCACAGCCAAGTACTTGGTTATGGCGTTCACCTGAGGAGAAGACGCCTGCATCTTCTACTGTCTGGTCACGGTTTCTAAAGTTCAACTTCGAAAGTTTCTCTCCCTGAGACCCCTCAGGGAAGTCTCAGACTCCATAGGAAGTGTCAGTCACCAAGTTGCTAAGTGACCAGGGAGATGGGAGAGACATCCTTATCCTAAACTCTGTGGGCCCCTTCCTCTCCATGTCTGCCTTCTGTGACCCAGAATGTGCCATTTTTGGCTTACCTGTGTCTGTTAATTTGGACCTCATTTAAGGAGGAGAGGTGAACTGCAGACTGTCTCTGTCCTGGCGTGGGGAAAGACACTTGCGGGGAGTGTTGGCACAACAGTGTCTGCTTTTTCAGTCAGGCAGCTCTTCTCCAGCCCTTGGCTCTCTCCCTGTAAGGTGAAACCAGGGACCACATCCACCTGGTAGGAGAATCCAGGAAAGGACTTCAGGGTTAAAATACCCATGCCTGTCTAACAGCCTGCAGCCTAAAAGATGGAATATTTGCTACCAGAGGAATAACTTTTAAAAGTTATAACTAAATTGATTAGGAGAAAAATATGAATTTAGATTTAGCAGTGATGTCCCTGATACTTAGTACCAGCCTAGTAGATGTATTTGTGTTTACAAGAAAATAATGATCTGTGATGATAAATGATCACTTTACAAATTATAAAATTGGTTTTATTTTTATTTTTATTTTTATTTTTTGGTTTTTCGAGACAGGGTTTCTCTGTGGCTTTGGAGGCTGTCCTGGAACTCGCTTGGTAGTCCAGGCTGGTCTCGAACTCACAGAGATCCGCCTGCCTCTGCCTCCCGAGTGCTGGGATTAAAGGCGTGTGCCACCAAAGCCCGGCCTAGGTGTTATCTTTAAAATACTACACTTGTGTGAATTATATTTAAAGGCATTTTACTATTGTAAAATTGTTTGTGGATGTGTATGTTTGATACGTGTGTAAGTACTGAAGTATGTGCCACTGTGTTCTTGCAAAGGTCAGGGGATAGCTTTTGGGGGCTGGTGCTCTCCCTCCATTGTGGATTCTGAGGATCAAATTCAGGCATCAGGCTTGTGTGGCAGGCACTTTTACTTGAGCCATCTCTGACCCTGTGTGAAATATTACCCTCATTTTGTAGGTGTAGGAATAGATATAAGGTGCCCGCAGTTATATAATACACACTGGAGGTGACTCCAGTGTCCTGAGTCTGCTTTCTATGCTTCTCAGAACTTTATTTAATCTATTTAGTTAAAGGAAAGTAGACACATTATCAGTTATGTGGTATATTTAAAAACTTGTTCATTGCTGGGTGTGGTGGCACATGCCTTTAATTCCAGCACTTGGGAGATAGAAATAGGTGGATCTCTGTGAGTTCGAGGCCAACCTGGTCTACAAATCTATACAGAGAAATCCTGTCCTGAAAAATTAAAAAAACAAAACAAAAACAAAAAACCAAATTAAATCAAACAAAATAAAATTGTTCACATCTCAAACACCATTAATATACATCTTCTGATTTGTTAGCTATAGAAACAATTTTATATGGTAATTTTTACTTAGTCTTACAATTATTATTTACTGTACAACAGCTATTTCCATGTTTTGAGTCCTCATATTTTCATTCAAGTGGTTGTACATGGTATATTCAGTGTGTTAGTGTGTTCTTCCCTCCACAGGAAAACATTTGGGCTGTTTCCAGTTCATACATTATATAATGTATTTTTCGTTTGACTTATTTATTTGTAATACAGTGCTCATTATGGAAATTTGAGATCAGAACACAGAACCAGCAATGTAACCAAACCAAAGTGCTTATAAAGTCAAAGGCTTGTCAGGGTTTCCCACTTAATAGATGTAAGGCAGCATTTTAATAATTGTTTTAAGGTATGTTTCATACTGTTCATAGGCTCTGTTGGGCATGTATGGCTGGATACTAGAGACTAGTGTTGTTTTGATAGATTTTTATCAGCTCCCTAAAAGTTGTAGAGATGAAACTTGTATTTACAATGTTAATTTCCCTAACTCTGTTGCTTTCCTTTGAATTTTTTTCCCGCCTTTGTGAACACTTCAAATTTAATCCAAACAATTTACACACTTTACAATTCATGCATTTTGTTTCTGCTTTTCTTTGGCGTGTGTGTATATATTTCAGTTTCTTCTACCTAAACTATCTTAAATTGATGTTTGTTTTGTTTTATTTTTGCCTTTTTTTATTGTTATAAGACAAGATCTTGTATATAGGTGAGATTGTCCTGGAACTCACTACTGACCCAGGCTAGCTTTGAACTCACAATAAACTCTTCTGCCTCAGCCTTTTGAGTATTAAGATCATAGGCTTGTGTTATGTTCAACTCACCTCCCCCTTTTTTATTTTGCTATATTGTAGTATGAGATAGCTGTCCAACCTGTTTTTTCCTTTATCGGTGTATGTTCAGTTTTGTCAACAGCATCGTTTACTCTCATTTTTTATTTATGCAAAGGGTTGACCCTAGAGCCTTACAAATGCACATGTATTTTACTACTGAGCCACCCCTGCCTCCGTCACACACTGCCGCCAAGTGTCTATATTTTATTTTATTTGTGAGCCTCCTTGATGGCCCCACTTTTGTTTTCTTTCTTTTCTTTTTTTTTTTTTTTTTTTTTTTTTTTGGTTTTTCGAGACAGGGTTTCTCTGTATTGTCTTGGAGGCTGTCCTGGAACTCTTTCTGTAGACCAGGCTGGCCTTGAACTCACAGAGATCCGCCTGCCTCTGCCTCCCGAGTGCTGGGATTAAAGGCGTGGGCCACCACCGCCCGGCCTTTGTTTTCTTAAGATAGTGACTTGCTTCAGGCTAGCCTGGAAGCTGCCACATAGACCAGGTGGCCTCAAACTCAGGACCCTCCTCCCTGAGCTCCTGAGCACTAAGATGCAGGCCTGTAGCATCACACCCGGCCCAGATGATGCATTTTTGATAGATAGACCCAAAGCCCTTCAGTCTTAGATATAGGACAAAAATCCTTAGGAAGTTTCTACAGGCTCCCTTCCCAATGCTTCCCATCGCCACCTTGTTGGTTAGCCATCATTATATAATTATGAGTTTTATTCATTTTTAGGTTAATTAGCCCTTTTCTTAAGTTCATGCAAAGGAGCTACAGTTTGTGTAATATTGCCTTCATTCAGTATAATCTGATTTTTGTTTGTTTGTTTGTTTGTTTCTTAAGTAGGCAGAGAAATGGTTCAGATGTTTACAGCACTTGAGGACCTGGGTTTGGTTCCCAGCACCCACTTGATGACTTACATCTATCCATAACTCCAGTTCCAGGGACTCTCATGTTCCCTTTGGCTTTTTCAGGCACAAGACATGAACATGGTACACATATATGCATTCAGGAAAAACCACTCATCCCCGTAAAAACATAAAATAACCCCCTGCTGGACCTTTTGCTAGAATGGCTGTGCCATTTCTTTCTCTGCCATCATCAAATAGAAAACTTCCTTATTGGTCTTTTAGAATGTGTGAACATAAACGCTAAGAATGGTAGTCCGTGCCTAATCACATCACTTGGGTGTGAGGCAGACTGAATCAAGGCTAGCCTAAGCATAGGGAGAAACATTTCTTCTTCTTTTTTTTTTGTTTTTCGAGACAGGGTTTCTCTGTATTGTTTTGGAGGCTGTCCTGGAACTGGCTCTGTAGACCAGGTTGGCCTCGAACTCACAGAGATCCACCTGCTTCTCTGCCTCCCAAGTGCTGGGATTAAAGGCGTGGGCCACCAACGACAGGCCATTTCTTCATTTGAGTACACGTCCTTTGCCAGATATATATGTATTATGAATATTTTTCCAGAGTCTTGCTTGTTATGCTCATTTTGATGGCATAGTTTTAATTTTGATAGTCTAATTCATTAGTATTTTTCTTTTATGTTTTTGTTTTCTGTGTCCTAAGAAAACTGCCTAACACGCTCCCCCCACCCCCACCAGATAGACATGCGCCTTTTCCCCCCCATAGATGGGTTTATATAGTTTTCTTCTAATAGCTTTACATTTTAGATTTTATGTTTTGATTTATAATATATAAATTTTTCCTGTCGTGAGGTAGGCATCAGTCAGGGTTCATCTTTTTCAATATGGGTACCCAGGAGTTTCAGTACTTGAAATTTAACGAAAAAAATATTTTTTTTATGTCACTTTTTTTTTTTTTTTTTTTTGGTTTTTCAAGACAGGGTTTCTCTGTGGCTTTGGAGGCTGTCCTGGAACTCAGTTGGTAGTCCAGGCTGGTCTCGAACTCACAGAGATCCGCCTGCCTCTACCTCCCGAGTGCTGGGATTAAAGGTGTGCGCCACCAACGCCTCGCTTATTATGTCACCTTCTTAGCGCAGTAGGCAGTATATCAGACTCATGTACTAGTGTGTGCGCGCGCGCATGTGTGTGTGTGTGTGTGTGTGTGCGCGCGCCACGCGTGCATGCGTGCGTGCTCACAGTGTGAATGTGGGCAGGTGCATGCATGATGTGTGGAGATCAGAGGACAACTTTGGGAGTTAGTTCTCTTTCTCTACCACGGGGATCAAACTCCTTTGTAAGGTTTTTGTGGCAAGTGGTTTTTACCCATGGAGCTGTCAGTCTCACTGGCTCTAGCACTGTTTTTTTTTTGTTTTTTGTTTTTTTTTTGCGTGTTTTTCACTAGATTGTTTTGACATCACTATAGACACTTGTAGTAGTTTAAAGGATTGACTTTCCTGCTGTGGGTTTCTTGACCAGCAAGTACGGAAATGGAAGTTATTACTTCTGACCCCATAGTCCCTTTAGGCTGTATTTGGTTCTATTCTGGATGTTACCAAGTCCTGACCCAGTAAGTCATAGAATCTTCTCTTATTGGCAGTGAGTTGTAGTGACTGAGTTCTTTGTTGTGTTTGGACCTAGGATGACCAGCATCCCAGTAAAGGACCGAGTGAGGGTGTCTCAGAACTGGAGACTGGGGCGCTGCCGACAGGGGACTCTGCTCAAGTGGAGATGTGGGTAAGTAGCTTCTTGATTTTTTAAAAATATTTGCTTGTTTTTATTTTATGTGTGTAAGTATTTCGTTTGTCATGTCCCTGCCCCACTGACTTGTGCATATGCTTTTTGCTTTCTATTTTGTTTTGAGATGGGATCTATGTAGCTGTGGCTGTCTTGAACTTATTGTGTAGACCGGGCCATCCTCAAACCTACAGAGATCTGTCTGCCTCTACCTCCGTAAAGTCTGGGATTAAAAGCAATGCACCACTACGCCTGACTTGTGTATAATTATTTTGTCTGCTTGTGTATGTCTGCTATTTGAGGAAGTTCCAAAAGGACTTCAGATCCCCTGGAGCTGGAACTACAGATGGTTGTGAGCCATCATGTGGCTGCTGAGATTCAAACCTGGATCCTTTCAAAGAGCAGCCAGTGCTCTTAACTTCTAAGCCACCTGCTAGCCTTCTTGATTGTTTTTAAGGCTTTCCAAGATGGAAGAGCATAATAGAAAATATGAATTAAAGCCAGGCAGTGGGGTGAACTCCTTTCATCTCAGCACTTGGGAGTCAGAGGCAGGAGGATCTCTGTGAGTTCGAGGCCAGCCTGGTCTACAGAGCAAGTTCTGCAGCAGCCTCCAAAACAATACAGAGAAACGCTGTCTCGAAAAACCAGAAGAAAAATAAGGAAAAAAGAAAAAGAAAATTGGGATAGGATCCACCTAAGTTACTCAGGCTGACTCTTTAGCCCAGACAAGCTTTGAAATCAAGACCTCTGTGTATCATGTATTCTCTGTGTATCATGTATTCTCTGTGTATCATGTATTCTCTGTGTATCATGTATTCTCTGTGTATCATGTATTCTCTGTGTATCATGTATACAGTGCATACCAGAAAAGGGCACCAGATCTCATTACAGGTGGTTGTGAGCCACCACGTGGTTACTGGGAATTGAACTCAGGTCCTCTGAAGGAACAGTTAATGCTCTTAACCCCTGAGCCATCTCTCCAGCCCGAGACAGAATTTCTTTGTGTAGCTCTGGCTGTCCTGGAACTCTTTGTAGACCAGTCTGGCCTTGAACTCACAAGAGATCCACCTGCTTCTGTCTCCTGAGTGCTGGGAGTAAAAGCAAGCAATACCACCACCCAGGTGAAAATATAATTTTTTTAAAGGCAAAATGGAATATTAGAGATATGTGAAGTAGGCCTTAGAGTGCCAGTGTGTGTGTGGTGTATGTTCACGTGTGTGGGTATTCAAAGCAGTGCTTGGAGGCCAAGAGAGGACTTTGAGTGACCTGCTCTATTACTCTCCGTCATATTCCCTTGAGATAGGGCCTCTGAATCTGGAGCTAGGCTAGCAGCTATCAGGTCTCAGTGACCCTCCTGTCTCTCTACTCTTCACCCGTCAGGTCTCAGTGACCCTCCTGCCTCTACTCTCACTCTTCATCCCGTGATCCTCAGGTCTCCAGTGTTCATCCATCAGGTCTCAGTGATCCTCCTGCCTCTCTACTCATCACCCGTCAGGTCTCAGTGACCCTCCTGCCTCTCTACTCTTCACCCGTCAGGTCTCAGTGACCCTCCTGTCTCTCTACTCTTCACCCATCAGGTCTCAGTGATCCCCCTGCCTCTCTACTCTTCACCCATCAGGTCTCAGTGATCCCCCTGTCTCTCTACTCTTCACCCATCAGGTCTCAGTGATCCCCCTGTCTCTCTACTCTTCACCCATCAGGTCTCAGTGACCCTCCTATCTCTCTACTCTTCACCCGTCAGGTCTCAGTGATCCTCCTGCCTCTCTCTACTCTTCACCCGTCAGGTCTCAGTGATCCTCCTGCCTCTCTCTACTCTTCACCCGTCAGGTCTCAGTGATCCTCCTGTCTCTCTACTCTTCACCCATCAGGTCTCAGTGATCCCCCTGCCTCTCTACTCTTCACCCATCAGGTCTCAGTGATCCCCCTGTCTCTCTACTCTTCACCCATCAGGTCTCAGTGACCCTCCTGCCTCTCTACTCTTCACCCGTCAGGTCTCAGTGATCCCCCTGTCTCTCTACTCTTCACCCGTCAGGTCTCAGTGATCCCCCTGTCTCTCTACTCTTCACCCGTCAGGTCTCAGTGACCTCCTGCCTCTCTACTCTTCACCCGTCAGGTCTCAGTGATCCCCTGTCTCTCTACTCTTCACCCATCAGGTCTCAGTGATCCCCTGCCTCTCTGCTCTTCACCGTCAGGTCTCAGTGATCCTCCTGCCCTCTCTACTCTTCACCCGTCAGGTCTCAGTGATCCCCCTGTCTCCCTACTCTTCACCCATCAGGTCTCAGTGATCCCTCCTGCCTCTGCTCTTCACCCGTCAGGTCTCAGTGATCCTCCTGCTCTCTCTACTCTTCACCCGTCAGGTCTCAGTGATCCTCCTGTCTCTCTACTCTTCACCCATCAGGTCTCAGTGACCCTCCTGTCTCTCTACTCATCACCCATCAGGTCTCAGTGATCCTCCTGTCTCTCTACTCTTCACCCATCAGGTCTCAGTGACCCTCCTGCCTCTCTACTCTTCACCCGTCAGGTCTCAGTGACCCTCCTGTCTCTCTACTCTTCACCCATCAGGTCTCAGTGATCCCCCTGCCTCTCTACTCTTCACCCATCAGGTCTCAGTGATCCCCCTGTCTCTCTACTCTTCACCCATCAGGTCTCAGTGACCCTCCTGTCTCTCTACTCTTCACCCGTCAGGTCTCAGTGATCCTCCTGCCTCTCTCTACTCTTCACCCGTCAGGTCTCAGTGACCCTCCTGTCTCTCTACTCTTCACCCGTCAGGTCTCAGTGACCCTCCTGTCTCTCTACTCTTCACCGCTGGTCAGGTCTCAGTGATCCCCTGCCTCTACTTCACTCTTCACCCATCAGGTCTCAGTGACCCTCCTGTCTCTCTACTTTCACCCACAGGTCTCAGTGATCCTCCTGCTCTGTCTTCCCCTAGGGCTCTTCTCCTACCTCACCAGAGGTCTCAGTGATCCCCCTGCCTCTCTACTCTTCACCCATCAGGTCTCAGTGATCCCCCTGTCTCTCTACTCTTCACCCATCAGGTCTCAGTGACCCTCCTGTCTCTCTACTCATCACCCGTCAGGTCTCAGTGATCCTCCTGCTCTCTCTACTCTTCACCCGTCAGGTCTCAGTGACCCTCCTGTCTCTCTACTCTTCACCCGTCAGGTCTCAGTGATCCTCCTGTCTCTCTACTCTTCACCCATCAGGTCTCAGTGATCCCCCTGCCTCTCTACTCTTCACCCATCAGGTCTCAGTGATCCCCCTGTCTCTCTACTCTTCACCCATCAGGTCTCAGTGACCCTCCTGTCTCTCTACTCTTCACCCGTCAGGTCTCAGTGATCCTCCTGTCTCTCTACTCTTCACCCATCAGGTCTCAGTGATCCTCCTGCCTCTCTACTCTTCACCCGTCAGGTCTCAGTGATCCTCCTGCCTCTCTACTCTTCACCCATCAGGTCTCAGTGATCCCCCTGTCTCTACTCTTCACCCATCAGGTCTCAGTGATCCCCCTGTCTCTCTACTCATCACCCATCAGGTCTCAGTGATCCTCCTGTCTCTCTACTCTTCACCCATCAGGTCTCAGTGACCCTCCTGTCTCTCTACTCATCACCCATCAGGTCTCAGTGATCCTCCTGTCTCTCTACTCTTCACCCATCAGGTCTCAGTGACCCTCCTGTCTCTCTACTCTTCACCCATCAGGTCTCAGTGACCCTCCTGCCTCTCTACTCTTCACCCATCAGGTCTCAGTGACCCTCCTGCCTCTCTACTCTTCACCCATCAGTGCTGTGGTTATAGGCACTCGCTACACAGGTGCTGGGAATTCGAAATCCGTCCTTCATTCTTGAACAGCAAGCACTTTCCCCACTGAGCTATCGCCTTGGTCAAGTGCTGTACATTTTTGATGATTGTTGTAGCACACTTATGCCTTATCAGCATCAAAGCCTGTCATGATTATTATTTGGCACCTTACCCAAAAAGTGTTTCTTGTTGGTTGATTTCAGTGGATTGTGAGCTTTGTGACTTTTCATTCTGGCTGACCATCCCTCCGCTGATAGATAAGGCATACTTCTGCCTTTGGTGACTGTCATAGTGGCTGTTCTTCTGCTGTGAAGAGACACCATGACTAAGGCAACTCTTATAGAAGCCAGCATTTAAACAGGGGTTACTTACGGTTTCAGAGGGTTAGTCTATGATCATCATGGCAGGAAGCATATAGGCATGGTGCTGGATCAGTAGCTGAGAGCTTCTACATCCTGACCCACAGGCAGAGAGAGAGAGACAGAGAGAGACTGGGCCAGGGCTAGGCTTTTGAAACCTCAGAGCCCATTTTCAATGACACACTTCTTTCAGCAAGGCCATACCTACTCCAAAATGCCACACCTCCTAATCTTTCTATCCTTCTCAAACAGTTCCACTCCCTGATGACTAAACATTCTAATGTATGAGCCTAGGGGGACCATTCTCATTCAAACCACCACAATGACCCTTTATCTTGCTTGTGCTGTTTCTACTGGTTTGGCTGATGTCGGTTTCTGTGAATTATATGGTGGTATATTAAAGAAGGTATGAAAGAGAAAGATGGATTTACCTTCCGATTTCCATTTTTACCTGGTTGTGGTTTTCTTAAAAAGCAGGATCTCCTTTGTAGCCCAGGTTGACCTCAAACTTGCCAACCTTGTACTCAGACTCCTTAGTGCTAGGATTACAGTGCCATCATACCCCGTCATTTGTGCCTTTTAACATCAAAGAGTAATTTCTCTATCAAGTTTTTGCTTCTGGTATTGTCTTTTAGGGCTTTCATTTAAGGCAGTCTGGCAAATAAACACAGAACAATTACCAGGTTGCCCCAGGATTTGTCACTGTTCACCTGGCATGAACCTGGTTTCTTATCCTAGCTAAATGTCTGTTTACCACATGGTTGTAAGTACATGAATTCCAGCTCACTCTGTTTGTTGCCCATTTGAATGTCCTACATAATTGTGAAAAAGATGAAGAATACAGACATATATACACATGCTTTACACATGTTCTATATAACATATACATAACACTTGTAAAAACTATATGAGCAGAAACTCAGTTACTACACAGTCCAAGCTGCATTTAATGGCCCAGCAAGTCAATTTGCAGAACTTTACCACATTCCCATGACACTTGTTTTAAGGAGGCTGGGGAAGAAACAGCCCAGTTTGCTCAGACAGACTTGGCTGTGGGAGATGGTGTCTGTCCATGGGGATGAGTCAGCTTTCCCTTTGATTTCTTGAGACCGGGTAGCTCCAGGACTGTTCCGTAGGATAGGTACAGGTGTGATGTCTGTCTGGAGAAGGGTCTTCGATGTCTAGTAGAGTGCCCGTCCCTTTCCTCCTCTCTTCCTTCTTCTCCCCTGTCGACTGTTGTCGCATCCCCCTTGTTTATTGAGATAGCCTCTGATGGCCTTGACCTCCATATGCATCTAAAGATGGCCTCCTGCTTTACTGCTCAGGAGAGTGCTGGAATTACAGCTGTATGCCACTATTTGCCCCCAAGTTTTTTTTCTTAAGGCTTTAGTTCCATGATATGGGATTAGCAGGTGGCTTTTAAGCTTTCTTTCTTTTGGAGATTGGAGAGAGACTCTTGAACCTTCTCTGGATGTCTCTTATCAGTTGTTATGAGGGCTGAGTTCTTTGTAGCCCCTGAACTTCAGCACGCTGCTTTGGAATTATATCACCACACATCCCCTCCACTAAAGAAAAGTCAACATCCCTGGGAAGATCAAGGCATCTCTTGAGCAAGTTTGCTTACTTATAAATGTCTCTTTGCTCCAATAACCAGGGAATGAGGTTTCTTAAAACTTACCTTTTTTCGCCGGGCGTTGGTGGCACACGCCTTTAATCCCAGCACTCAGGAGGCAGAGGCAGGCGGATCTCTGTGAGTTCGAGGCCAGCCTGGTCTACAAAGTGAGTTCCAGGACAGCCTCCAAAGCCACAGAGAAACCCTGTCTCGAAAAACCAAAAAAAAAAAAAAAAAAAAAAAACTTACCTTTTTTCTCTCACACCTTAACTGATCTGTTAAGCAAGGAGTATATATATGTCAGAGTCTTGGAACCCTGAAACTTATCTGTGGGACTTAGAATTCAGAGGTCACTTTACCTGGCTGGAAATGTCCTTTTGACTTCCCCTACTCCTCCCTCAACTTAATTTTTTTTTTTTTTTTTTTTTTTTTGGTTTTTCGAGACAGGGTTTCTCTGTGGCTTTGGAGGCTGTCCTGGAACTTGCTTGGTAGTCCAGGCTGGTCTCGAACTCACAGAGATCCACCTGCCTCTGCCTCCCGAGTGCTGGGATTAAAGGCGTGCGCACCACCGCCCGGCTTCAACTTAATTTTTTAAGGTCCTGTTTATCTAAAGAATCACAGGCAGCACTTTTACTTTTTTTTTTTCCCCTTGGTACCTCTCTGTAGTCAGATGCCCTGGATGCAGCTGAAGGATGCTTCCCTGTACATATCTCAGGCTAATTCCATCCTGGCCTACCAGTTCCGTCCAGATGGTGCCAGCTTGAACCGTCGGCCCTTCAGAGTCTTCGCTGGGCATGATGAGGACGTTTGTCACTTTGTGCTGGCGGACTCACATATCGTCAGTGCAGGAGGGTAAGTGCTGGTCTTCCTGTGTCTGCCTCTAACTTTTCTGGCTCAACAACAAAGGGATAAGGAAGGAGATTTTTTAAAAGGTAAGCTTAAAAAAATAAAACCCTTAAAGCAGAGATTTACCAAAAGCTGCTAATAGGGTTAGGCAGAGAGGAAATCAGGAAGAGCCTTCACTGCAAAGTGGATCAGGTTTGATACTCTCCTAGGGGAGGTTTAGTTCTTCTCTCAGCTATGTTTAGCCCCAAGTGTGCTGAAGAAGTAAAAGTATATAACACTCAGCACCTTGTGGGCCAAACTGCAGAATGCTTGGTACATCTGGGTGTTGCTGGACACTTGGGCCGCTTCAGTGGACTGGTCCTCTTGCTACAGAGAGTAGTTAACTCCTGGGGGGGCTCCGTTCTCTTGTAGAGATGGGAAGATTGGTGTTCATAAGCTTCACAGCACCTTCACTATCAAGTACTCAGCTCATGAGCAGGAGGTGAACTGTGTGGACTGCAAAGGGGGCATCATTGTGAGTGGCTCCAGGGACAGGACAGCCAAGGTGAGGTTCTCCCCTTACATACTGTTATTTCTTCCTGTCTATAGGGCTGGGGTGGGGAGGGTGGATAGAGCCTTGAGTCCCAGGATTAGCTGAGAGCGTTGGGTGAGGGCAGGGGAGAAGTGGCACAATAAAGAACTTACTTATGTGCCTTTGGCATGCAGCTTGCTCTGCCAGGCTGTGTTCCTGCCAGCTGGACTGGGAGAGGAGTGGACAGTGGCTGGGATGCTTGCCATCACTTGAAATGTGGTGTGAAGGCAAAAACAGAGGGCCTGGTCAGCTTTTCCTCCCTGAGCCGAGTTTCCTCAAGTTTGTGGGTTGACTTCTAACCCCAGTATTTTATTTTAAAATCTCCCTCCTTTTGCTTGCTCTCTATTTAGAGAAGTTAATTTTTCACCACCTTGTTTACAAGCAATCAGGTTGATAATTAAAACGTGTTTTTACTGATCCTGTGGAGAGTGATGTGGTCAGTAGGCAGTGGAGACGACAGGAAGGCTGTTGATGGCTGCATCATTGACAGATTGCTTGGTTCAGAGACATCCACCAAGACACAGAAGCAATGGAACTGATAGAGTTGTCCTCCTTGCTTTGTGAGTCTTGGGTGCAGCAGTCCTGGCTGGGATACAGGCTTTGGCTACAGTGGGAGCTCTGCTGACAGTTTACTTGGTGATGCAGAAGACCCCAGAGGTCTTGATTACCTGTTTTCCAGAATCTAGAGGCTCCATTGTGGCAAAATGCTTATTGAAATCAGCAAAAGGGCCTCTAAGCCACATGGAGAGGGAAGTTGCAGCTTTGATCCATCTTCTGAATCTGTGCACTCTCTAGTGATTGCTTTTTCACGTTGCTGCTTCATTTAAAGACAGGGGTTACATAGTTACCTCCTATTTGTGAACATTTTTCCTTTTGAAATTGTCTGCCTTATATTTTGTATTTAGAGAGAATGCATGCCAGTGTAAGAACCCTGAGAAAGATCAGCAATTTGTCTTTGCTTTTATTTTTTTTTGAGACAGGGTGTCATGTAGCCAGAGATGATCCTTGTGCCTTCATTTTCTTTTCTTTTTTGTTTTTTTTTTTTGTTTTGTTTTTGTTTTTGTGAGACAGCATTTCTCTGTGGCTTTGGAGACTGTCCTGGAACTAGCCCTGTAGACCATGCTGGTCTCGAACTCACAGAGATCCACCTGCCTCTGCCTCCCGAGTGCTGGGATTAAAGGCGTGCACCACCAATGCCTGGCTCATTTGAGAGTGCTGAGATTATAGGCATATGCTGCCACACTTGACTTTAATGGAGTTTTTTTGGGGGGAGGAGGGTTGGGATAGACTTTCTCTGCATAGCCCTGGCTGTTCTGGAACTCACTTTGTAGACCAGGTTGGCACAGAGTTCCATCTGCTTCTACCTTCCAAGTGCTGGGATTAATGGCATGCACCACACCACCAGGTTTTATTGAATATTTTTAATCTTCATGGAAACCACATTTCCTATCATCTGTTTCTTCCTCTTCCCCACCTCATATTTACTTCAAAGTTTTGCTTAGTCAATGACTTTGTAGCATTCCTTGCAAAGATTCTGACTTTAACTTGCCAAATTGCTCAGAAGTAAATCTGGGGCTAGAGATGTGGCTCAGTCAAGTGCTTACTAGTCACACATGAAGATCTGGGTTTAGGTAGTCAATACTTACATCTGGGGACAGTGGGGAGGCACAGACAGGTGAATCCCTAGAACTTTAAAAATAACATTTGTTCTTTGTTAATTTCATACATTTGTAATGCATCCCCCCCCCCCCGTCTTCCTTACAAATACCTTCTTTTTTTGTTTTTGTTTTTTTTGAGACAGGGTTTCCCTGTGGCTTTGGAGGCTGTCCTGGAACTCGCTCGGTAGACCAGGCTCTTTTTTGTTTTTTATAGATTTACTTATTTATGTATATGAGTGCTCTGTCTTCCTATACATCTGCATGACAGAAGAGGGCATCAGATCCCATGTAATTGTTGTGAGCCACCATGTGGGTGCTGGGAACTGAACTCAGGACCTCTGAAAGAGCAATCAGTGTTCTTAACCACTAAGTCATCTTTCCAGCCCCCTTACAAATATCTTAACTATATTTAATAGCTTTTGATTTTATTCGCATTCTACAGAGTTTAACTAGGGCTATCTTTATGAGCAGGTATATAACATGTTCTATGCCTTTTCCTCTCCCAGAATCTCTTGTCAATAGATGTAGCACTAAATGCCCATAAACCCCTTTCCTTCATAGCTGACTGTGAGGGGGTCTTAGTGTCAGTAGCCATAGTTACTGTGAGATCATGACTGCCATGGCATGTTGTGCTTAGAAGATAGCATTTTGAAGACTGTTCCCCAAGTCTGAGGAGGGTAGTTAAGGCCTTGGTTAGGGCTGAGTTCCCCCCAACAGTCCTGTAATCAGCATCTGTGAAGCCTTGGGTCCTTGTATTTACTTCTGTTCGTTGCAAGGGGAGGCTTCTGTTTTGACAGCTGAGAGTAGCCTTTGTCTGTGGGTGTAAGACGGTATTCTCAAGGTGGTTTTGTGCTGTGTTGATTCAGCTAAGCTGTAGCTTAGATTCTTCTCTAAAACCTCAAATCCATCTTTCTTTCTCTTTTGAGATAGTGTCTGGCTATGTGGCACAGGCTAACCTTGAACTTGCAATTTTACTGCCTCTTGAAGTTATAGGTATATGCTACCGCATGCCTGCTGGAATTAACTTCTAACAATGAAGACTGTACCAGGCACTGTGCTAAGCACCTCATTAATTTATCTTCCCCTGCATAATTGTAATGTATTTTAGATATACAGTATACCCCGTGGTATCTACTCTATACAAATATATATATGTGTGTGTATACTATATATATGTTTACATATAAACTTTCTATTGTATATAAACATATATATATAATTTTTTTGAGATAGGTGTCCTTGAAGTTTCTATGTAGCCAAGTATGACCTTAAACTTCTGATCTTGCCTCCACCTGTTGAATGCTGGGATTCCAGGTACGCTACCATATCCAGTCTGTGTAGTGCTAGAGATCAAACCCAGGCTTTGTGCATGCTAGGCAAACACTATATCAATTGAGCTATGTCTCTAGCCCTCATATTACCTTCAGTGACTTCCAAATGAGTAGACCATTATTTACTTCAAATCTTCTCTAGTAGGTGGATGATTCTGTCTGCTTTCTTCCTGGGTACAAGAACCTGGACATAAGAGCTCTTCCTAAAGGACCTGATTCCTGCTAATTCTGTACACCATGTTGTTCGTTCTAGTACTCTATGTACTTCCCTTTTCTACAGCATGCTCCTGAGGCATAGGCATTTCCCCCGTTTGATGAGATGAAAATGAGACCAAGAGGTTAGGAAACATCTCTAAGAGCTAAGATAATAAATCACAGGTAGGGTTTACACCTGGTCAGACTCCAAAGACTATATGTTTATCCTGTAATAATAGGCTACAGGAAATAGTTTATTTACCATTTTAGGTTTTTTTTTGTTTTAGAGTTTTTTTGTTTTGTTTTGTTTTGTTTTTAGGATGAATTCTCAGCTTTAGAGTTCCTGAATCAAACAGAGATCATTGTAGGAACTTTGCTGCCTCCAGTCCGCCTTCTTAAAGGACTGTATAAATGTATACTTCCACTGAGTATTTTCCAGGGTGGGTCTGTTTTGTGTTGATAGCAAAGATCTGACCAGATCTTTATTGTGTCAACTCCTGTCTCTCAGGTGCCAGGATACTCTTGTTGCCAGAGGCTGCTGTGCTGTGGGACAGGCTGGCCACTTTCCTGAATGACGCTTGGATTGGCCATGCATTTCCCTGGTCATTGCTACAGAGCTGTAGCCTTGTCCCTTGGTTTGGGGACTCTCAGAGTCTACCAGCTGGCTCTGTGGAAGGTAGTACTAAACTCAGGTTTAGTCTGTCCCCACAGATTTTTGTAAATCAAGAGTCCCCACTTCACCCTGTAGGCAAGAACCTGCCTCCAAGGGAGTTCAGATAAGAAAAGCTGAAGGTCTCTTCCAAGCTGGGCAGTCTAAAGGAAGAGACCAGAAGGGCATCTAGTTATTACCAAAGGCTTTGACTGTCAAGTACAAAGGAGAGGCCAGAATACCAGCTTTACAGGGAATATTGAGGGTTTGCCTTTGTTGTGTTTTGTGTCCCCTCCTCATCCAGAATATTCTTGTTAAATTTCTTTTCTTCTTAGTTCTGGGAAAAGTTGCTCCTACTATCATCCCATCCCCCACCCCATCATACCCAGAAACTCTAAGAAACACTTTCTCCTTTTATAGGGAAGAGATACCATGTGACCCTAAGAAAGCAAGACAACCCCCATCCCATCACCTGCCCCTTACACTGAAGGAATGTTTTCTTAAGTTTTTCCATCTAAGGTCTTGCCTGAGTTTGGTGTGTTCCCCTTATAGCTCTGCGGGGACCTTGAGAGGTCATTGATCCATCTAGCTGCCCTAGGATCCCTCTGTGGCCGCTCTGGGGAGAGCCCTGTACATTTGAGGGTTCCTTTCTGTTTGGTTAGCGGCTTATGTCCCTGCATGTGTCATCTGGGGTAGGGCGAGGTGAGGGGAGCCTTGTGCTTAATGGGAGATTTCTAAATGCACAGACTGCTGAGAGGCTCTGGGAGTGTTGATTAGAGTTAAGCCCCGAGTGGCTGCTAATGTACATTCCTGACTGATAGGGACCAGATAGTGTGCTCCAAGCAATATTTTTAACCTGTGGAGATATGGAAGCTTAAAGGAGTTAAGCTTTTCTGCTACTTTTGGTGACACTAGGTGCTAAATTCCCTGCTGACATGAATAGCTTTGGGTCCTGGGCATTATGAACAAACAAACAACACACCACCATCTCACTTTGAAGTCTTTTTCCATTCTTTCCTTGTTTTGCAACTTTCTTTTTACTTCGCTGATAGTATGTATACATGTCTCCCCGGATTGTGCCTTGATCTTCCTGTCTCTCCCTCTCTGCCTGAAGTAAAGCTTTGGGGAAAGATAGGGGGAAGGACGGTCCGCAAACACAAGGAAGTTTCTGAGCGAGACAGGCTACTCCCATCTACCCTTCCGTAGTTAGAGCTCACACAGGCTAGGTGAAGCTTCTCCTTGTCTGGTAGGAAGTTGACTAGCAATTCAGGGCTCCCAGGTGGAAGTAAAGGTGGGTGGTTAGGGCTGTCCATGGCAGGCGAACTGGAAGCTGGAGCAGCTTCTCTGTGGATTCCCCATCCCTCGCCTCCCAAACCACACTCACTCCGCCTGGCGTGCACCTCTTTCTCCTGGTCGCAGGCAGTGCCAACAGGAGCATTTCCTCTCCTTTTTCCAGGTGTGGCCTTTGGCCTCGGGCCGGCTGGGGCAGTGCTTACACACCATCCAGACTGAAGACCGAGTCTGGTCCATTGCCATCAGCCCGCTACTCAGGTAAGGGAGACGTGTTTGGGTTTTTGTCTCACAGAAGAATGTTTTCATTTTATTAGGTCAGATAAGCTAGAGAAATTTCGCTCGTATACTCTAGGTTGCTATGAACCTCTTTCCTGGAGATTTAAACATTACCTAGACTTGAGGGCTTTGGGTCTTTTCACATACTTGTGGAATTGAGATAACCTTTCCTAAGCATCTGATGGGAAATGTTAAGGCAAAGATACCATCCTGGAATGTAACTGAGGGTCAGTGTTCCCTTTCTGGAGCAGATGTCCTTTGGAGTTGCTCCAAAGCAAAGGCTTCTCAGTATACCTGAGCTCTAATGGCAGCAGCTAGCCTGCTGTCGGGACCCCTCTCTGCTTTGTTCCCTGACAGTGTCTTCTGGAGTATCCCTTACAGGCTCTGGGTATCAGGAGAGGAGGAGAGGTTGGGGGCCTGTCAACTGGGCCCTCATCTATGTGTGTAGAGGAGCAGGGGCGTGGCAATTGTAGTGGGAGGGCAGCTGTTTTATTGCTTTATGTGTATGGTGTTTTGGCCTGTGTACCACTTGTTTGTCTGGTGCCCATGGAGAAGAGGGTGCTGCATCTGGGACTGTGAGCCCCCATGTGGGTGCTAGGAATCAAACACAGGACCTCTGGACAAGCAGCCAGAGCTCTTAACTGCTGAGCCATCTCTCCATCCGGCAGCTCATAAAACAAACAAACAAACGAACCAAAACAAAAAACACTAAGTCTTGCTGTATAGCTGAGGCTGTTTTAGAACTCACTACGTAGCTCAGACTGGCCAAGAGTTAGTTAGTGATCTTCCTGCTTCAGCCTTTCTCAATGGCTGGGATTACAAGTGCAGACACTAAATGCAGCTGTTTCTTCAGCTTTAACTCGCCAGTGTTGGCTCATGCCTGTAATCCCAGCATTTAGGGAGCTGAGGCAGGAATACCGCGCATGAGCTTGAGGCCAGCTTGGGCTATAAGGGGAGTTTCAGACCAGCCTAGGCCACAGACTGAGACCCTGTCTCAAAAACAAAATAAAAACAACACAAAAAAAAAAAAACCGAAAGCAAAATAAAAAACTAAAACTGGAGAAATGTAAGCAAGTGAGCTTTACACCCTGACTTCTGTTTTTTGACTATTATTATTAAAAACATTTTATTGGTTTACGATCATTATACATAATACTGAGCTTCATGTAGACAATTTCTTTTAGATATATCATGTGCTTTTATGTAGGCTTTTTAAAAATATTTTATTACTTTTTATGTGTGTTTTGCTTGTGCATATCTTTGTGCATCACATATGTACAGTGCTCCCAGAAGTGAGAAGAGGGTGTTGGATCCCCGGAACTGCAGTTACAGATGACTGTGAGCTGCCATGTGGGTGCTGAGGATCAAACCTAGGTCCTCTGGAAGAGCAGCTGGGGCTCTTCGCTGATGAGCCATTGTGCTAGCTACTTTCTAGGCTATCTTGAAACAAGGCTGGACCTCTCTCCTCTCCAGTGGGGTTTAGACACTTTCCTGTGCTTGAACTATAATAGAAGTTAGTAGAATCTGTCTGTATTTCTTTGATGCCTCTCATCCTACCTGAACGGACTTGGGAAAGCTGTAGGGCTGCCCACCTTCACTACCTGATTAAGTCAATCACTTGTTTTTATAAGCAAGTTTGTGCCCTTTTGCCCAGCCCCCTTCGGCCTCGTTCTCCTCATCTCATGAAGCCTGTACCCCTCCTCTTGCTCCCTTCCACAACTCCCTTTCAGTTTTTTCCTTCCTAAGAATCAGAACCGATTAGCCACGTCATTAATTCTTCAATTTGACGGCTGATATAGCAGGACCTGAAACACATTGCTGACCCCAGAGAATGGAGACCCCATTCCTTAACATATTGACGATGGGAGAAGTTAATTAAAATTCCACAGAGCAGAGGTGTCGGCTAACCTATAAACCTGTCGCTTTTCAGAACAAATCATTCCAGCATCTTAGGAAAGGGGAGTGGGGAAGCTAAGTGTGGAAGAATGGAGCTGACCAGCTTAGTCTCCTCTACGGTCTCTCCTAATGCACACTTCTGGAAGCTTGTCAGCCGGAATCCTGGGTCTGTGGGGTGGATGTGTGTGGGGACTGAAGGAAGGCAAGTGGGAGGTGACAGGTGTGCTGGTGACTTTGTCTTAGTGACTGCTTGTGGTCTTTGGCTGGCTTCAGGAGGCTGGAGTAGGCTTGTTGGTAGAAGGGACTCTGACTAGAGATGTCCGTGTACCTGCTACATGTTTGTTGAGGTCAAAGAGTATGGATGGACTATCCCCCTACACCTCAACCTTATAGTCATCTACTCTAGCTACATCATCTAGAGAATGTTGGGCTACTTATCAAAAACAACAAAAAAGACCACATAACACCTATTGCAGATGGTGTCGATACAAGAAGTCGAGAATGGAATTTACCTTCCTCATGAAGAGGCATTTGAGATCATAGTAAACTGAGTTTGAGTATTTTGGACATAACTTGGAGATTGACCATGAATACCATCCAGGTAGTCACTGCTACCTGGATGTTCTCCCTGTACAAACCCTCTGCTAAGTCTCTTTTGGGTCCCTTTGTGGTTTTTTTTTTCATAGTCTTCTTCAATTTTTTTAGTTCTGGATGATTCTTTTGCCCATCATTGACTTGCTGTTTACTGTTGACTGTAAAGTTATTTGATATGGCTTTTTTCTTAATTTCACAGATGATATCTTGAGCTCTGTTTATGTTTGTTTTGTTTTTTATGACAAGGTCCTACTATATAGCCCTGTCTGGCCTGGAGCTCATAGAGCTCTGCCTACATGTGCCTCCCCAGGTCTGGCAGACTTTTGTTTTAATATATATGTATATGTGTATATATATGCATATATATTTCATTTATTTATTTTTGTGAGTGCATCAGTGTATGCGTATGTACGCATTTGTATGCGTTCCAGTGTATTTGTGCCATGGTGCATGTGTGAAAGTCAGAGGATAACTTTAGCAATTTTTTCTGCCCTTCCACCATGTAGGTCCTAGGGATAGAACTCAGGTTGGACTCTCTTAAGAACTTGTGTTGGATATTCTGACTTTATACTAGACATCCAGAACACATGCTGGTATTTTATTGTGCCCCTTTTTTATTATATTCAAAGAATATACTGGGCTGTCCTGGAACTCCCTTTGTAGACCAGACTGACCTCGAACTCAGTGAGATCCCCCTGTCTCTGCCTCCCAAGTGAAGGGACTAAAGGTGCGTGCTGCCACCACCACCTTTATTCCCAGCACTCTGGAGGCAGAGGCAGGTGGATTTCTGTGAATTCTAGGCCAGCCAGCACTACATAGTAATACCCTGTCTCAAAACAAAACAAAACAAACAACTCATCTATCCTTTTAACCCAGGAAAGCACCGACTTCAGGGTCTGGTCTTTAGAGATACTAGTGAGTGCTGTAGGCAAATCATTCCCCCTTTCTGTACTCTCTTTACAGACATGACTAGATTATAGGGAAAATGACCAGAAAGACTATATATAATCTGGGCTGTGGTGGCGAACACCTTTAATCCCAGCACTTGGGAGGCAGAGGCAGGCAGATCTTTGTGAGATCAAGGCTAGCCTGATCTATAAAGCAAATTCTAGGACAGCCAGAGATGTTACATAGAGAAACTCTGTTTAAAGAAAGAAGAATGTATAAAGACTGAAGTCCTATAATAGTATGTCAGCTCCCTCACCATCTTATCTAATGTAGCGTTTGCTTAGTACTTAGTTGTTTTCAAGCCTATTTCCTAGGCTTCTCTGGGCTTCTGCCTCCTAGGAGTCACACTGCTCTTTTGTAGTCTTCCTGAGGTAGATTCTCCATGGGAATCTCTCTTCTTTTTTCTTTTTCTTTGAAGTGATCCTCAATGGCTGCCTTCTGTCACCTCCCTGCTACTATTCCTGTTGAATGTGTTTGTCAATCACCGAGTGACTTGGCCCTGTACCCCTTAGGAACAGCATTAAGGGCTGAGTAGCCACTGTCCTCTAAGGACAAGTATTCCAGTTTCCCTGCTGCTTCCTTGCAAAGTTGGAAGGAATCTGGACAGTGAAGAGATCTTGCACTGGTCTTTTCTCAATTACTGTCTTTTTCCTGCTAAAATAATTAGTCCTGTGCACTTTATTGTTGGTGTTATTTGTCTTTCCCTCTTCTTTTCACATGTTTGTACTCAGGCACTTTCAGCATGAAACATGGACCTCAAATTCGAGGCTTAGCATGAGGTACTTTTGACCAAGAGAAAGCAGGAATTCTGACCTGTGTCTAGGTATCACTTTTCCTTCTTTTTGTGACTTTGAATTTTTAATCTGTAAACAGTGGTAGAAAGTGATATGTAATACCAGTTGTGTACTCAAATCTATGCTTATTTATTTATTTATTTTGGAGACTCGGTTTCTCTGTGTAGCCCTGGGTGTCCTGGAACTTGCTCTGTAGACCAGGATGACCTTGAACTCAGAGATTTGCTTGCGTCTGCCTCTGGAGTGCTAGGATTAAAGGCATAGGTTACCACCACCCAGCTCAAAGCTATGTTTACTCAAAAGAAAAATACTAACAGAAATAGTAGGCTTCAAAGGATGGCGGCAGGCAGGGATGTTTTCCTTTGAGTCCCACCCACCTTTCTTCTCCTGTTGTCAAGATTGAGGTCTTATGGATTGAGGCTCTGCTCCATAGAGCAGGTTCCTGCCTGTATCCATTGGGTGAACAAGAGGAGGTAAAGAAGGCACACACTGTTCTAGAACAGAATGCTCTGTGTCTTCCATAGCTGGGTGGCAGAAATGCATTATACGTAGTCTCAGATATAGCTCCTAAGGTCACTGTGAATTCTGAGTGTTTTTAATTTTTTTTTCACAGACCATAGAGGCCTTTTATTTATGTATTTTATATCTCCAGAAAAACAATCCCAGGATTTTCCCTCCTGTGTGTTTTCATCTTGCCTCTTCGTGGTCCATGATGCCTGCTGAGGCTGTCAGAACAACGAAGCAAAACGT